CTCCCGGCCCCTGGGGCCACAGCACCTTTGGGGACACCTGGAGAAGCTGCAGCACCTGCAGGGGACGGGTCAGAGCATAGGGCTGCCACGGCCACATCTCCTGCAGGCCCATGGACACAACCTACCACATCCTGCCAGACTCACAGCCACATTCCACCAACCACCAGAATGAACCCATGGCCAGGTCCCACCAGCTTCCACAACATCCCGTGCAACGCACAGCCACATACCACCGTCCCCAGCATGAACCTATGGCCACATCCCACCGGGTCCCACCACATCCCACAAGATCCACTATCACATCCCACCAGGTCCCACCACCCGCAGCACAGACCCACAGCCCACTGGGTTCCACTGCCTCCCACCTGGCCCCACAGCCACAAGGGGCTCCCCAGGGGCAGGAACCGCCCCATCACCACTACTGCAGCCACCCCAGAGTGGTGTCCGTCCCTGGTTGATTGAGGGACATCTGCTGCAGCCCTGCTCCCCACCAGCTGCCTGGCCCCAAGGGCACTGCCCCACATACCTGGGCTGCTGTTAGGGCTAGAGGCTTTTGACCGCAGGAAGGTCCCTGAGGTGGGTTCAGAAGATGGTGCCAGCTGCCTGAAGAGACCCCGGAGCTGCCCGCTGAAGTCCCGGCTGGTGGGCAGGAGCCCGGTGCCAGGGCCGGGTGAGCTGTTGGTGGCAGGCAGAGGGCCCAGGGGGAGGCTGGACACCCCTGGACCCCCCTCCCTGGGGCAGCCCCAAGCACCCAGAAGGCTCAGCAGGGCTGCGAGAGGCTGCCCAGTCACTGAGGGGGGCATCCCTTTACGCTCAGGTGGCGCTCTGTGAGCTACTGGGTCCTGGAGGTCAGGGAGCCATTGGGACCCCCTGCCCGGGGCTCGCTCGCCCGTGAGAGAGAGCAGCATGCCAGGGGAGAGTGGGCAGGGCGGTAAAGTGCTCAGGGCAGGTGTGGGGTCGGGGTTGCCAAGCTGGGCCTTGGCGGCCAAACTCAGCAGGCTGCTGGCAGGGAAGGGGGTGCTCACCGGCGGCAGCCCCAAAAATCCCCTGCCCTCAGGGACAGCATCTAAGGGCACTGGCGGGTTATTGCTGCTTTGGCTGGTTAAGGCATCACTGACAGAATTGACCTTGTCTGTCTGGGGGGCACCGGTGGTGGCTGGCAGGGACAGCCCTGGTACCCCCAGCCCCGGGCTTTCTCTGGTCGCTCCCTGCAACAGGGCTGGCCAGGTGCTAGTCCTGCCCTTGGGGCGCTGGCTCTGGGCCACAGGGGATTGGGGGGGGTTCGCCACATCTGGCAGGGGCAAGGGGAGGCCAAAGCAGGGGCTGGCAGGAAAACTCTCGGGGATGCCGTTGGTCCCGGGAACGATGTCATGGGGCTGCAGAAAGGGTGGGGTGGTGAGCCAGGTCCCCGTGAGGGCAGATGGGGCATCCAGGATCTTCGTCCCCAAGGGGACCATGGGGAAGCTGCCGACAGTGCTGGGCAGGTGGGTGCCGGTGTGGGGGGCCACGGCCAGGTGCCCCTCTGCTGAGAACAGCAGGCTCAGGCCAGGACCTGCAGGGAACCACAGGGAATCACAGAATGGTCAGGGTTGGAAGGGACCTCTGGAGATCATCTAGTCCAACCTCCACCGCCAGAGCAGGGTCACCTACAACAGGTTGCACAGGACAGCGTCCAGGCGGGTTTTGAATGTCTCCAGAGTGGGAGACTCTACAACCTCTCTGGGCAGCCTGTTCCAGTGCTCCACTACCCTCAAAGTAAAGAAGTTCCTTCTCATGTTAAAATGGAACTTCCTATGTTCAAGCTTGTGCCCGTTACCCCTCGTCCTATCACTGGGCACCACTGAAAAAAGACTGCTCCCATCCCCCTGGCATCCTCCCGTTAAGTATTTGTAAGTATTAATAAGATCCCCCCTCAATCTTCTTTTCTCTAGACTAAAGAGACCCAAGTCCCTCGGCCATTCCTCACATGAGAGGTGTTCTAATCCCCTAATCATCTTTGTAGCTCTTTGCTGGACCCTCTCCAGCAGACCCCTGTCTTTCTTGACCCAGGGAGCCCAGAACTGGACGCAGTACTCCAGATGGGGCCTCACCAGGGCAGAGTAGAGGGGGAGGATGACCTCCCTCAACCTACTGGCCACACTCTTCTTGATGCACTCCAGGATGCCATTCGCCTTCTTGGCCACCCTTGGACACAGGGGTCAAGTGGGCACCAGCAGGACCTGGGCACCCCTATCCCTAAACTGGGATAGATTACGAAGGCGGAGGACAGGAAAGATGGGGGGGGGGGGGGACAGGCTGTGACAGAAAAGATGGGGGAGCCCTGGGAAACATGGGGAAAGCAGGAGGGCACCCAGGAGGACTGGGATGGGTGGCAAGAACCCAGGATTGTACAAGGGAGACAAGAAAGGTCTGGGACTGGACAGGCATGACCAGGAGACGTACAGGGTGACATAGACAAGGTGGTTACACCAGCGGGAACCTGGAGGGGGAAGGACCAGGGACTAGCATGGACATGGGACCACAGTACCTGTGCCTGGGTGGCAGGGGCCCAGGGTGCCCTCCATGCTGTGGCACAGTGTGGCCATGGCCGCTGTTTTCTGGCGGTGATTGCAGAGTTTGGTCATGTCCTGCTGGCCCTGGGCCCCAGGGGCCCCTCGCCCAGCCACCGCTGCCCCCGGGTCAAAGTTAAATACCTGCACGGACAGGGCAGACCGAGAGTGGCGACCGGCCACCCCGCAGGGACCCCCAGACCTGCACAGGCCCGCCACATCCTCCCCTCCTGCAGCCAGGGCCACCCCTCGCAGTTGCCCCTGCTCCATGTCTGGGGAAATCCCCGCAGTGCAGCTTCCCCCGCACCTTGTGCATGTTGAGTGGACACTCAAGGCCACACTTGCAGGTTCCCTCGGCCAGGAGGTAGGCACAAGTCTGCTCCAGTGAGGTCAGCGCCGTGCCGCTGGGGCTGGGGGGACACAGGAGGTGAGTGGAGACCGAGGAGGTGAGGGAGGGGTGGGACAGGGCTGGGGGGCCCCTCCTACCTGATATAGCACACTGAGCCCTCCTCCACCTTGCGCTCCCAGCCCACAGGCACAGGCCCAGCCAACGGGGGAGACGTCGGTCGGTCTGTTCCAGTGCCATCATTGCCACTGCTCATTGTGCCCCCTCGTCGCATGAACACCTGCAGGAGCAGAGTGAGGGGAAGCAAATAGAACAACAGGACTTGGCAGGACCTGGCAGGACCTGGGGGGGGGCAGAGCACAGAGGTGCCGAGGGATGCTCAGAGCCATAAGGCAGAGACAGGGGGTCTGCAGGGGGTGCCCAGGGGCAGGACCACAGGGGGCTGAAGGTGCCCAGGGACTGGGGCACTTTCCAGGTGGCTGTTTTGAAATCCCAAAGGAAACACCTAACGGGTAGAAGTAATCTGACAATTGGCCTCTGACCTCCACTTGCATTCAATGCCACATCACATCAGGATATCTTCAGAAAGCCTTTCACAATTAAAAAAACCAACAACACTAGAAATCACCCATAGTCTATTGAACAAGTTGTGGGTAGCAAAACCTACTTCTGTCAGGGTATTTAAAACTTTTTGGTAAAACAGTGAAATGTTCTGAATGAGTAAATACGTGAACAAAACCACTTTTAGTTGCTAGAAAGTTTGTTTTCTAGAACTCTCAGGAGAAATAAATTCAACATTAAATGAATACAAGATAGCAGACTCCATTTCACTCAGTGTTTTTCTTGACTTGTTGGTACTTGGCAGGACTCTAAGCATATCGTACATTCTTTGAGGATAATATTAAACAATTAAAAAACAATGTCTTTCAGCAGGGTTACAGTAAGTTTGTAACAGCTGCCAGTCAATGAGACTTCATAATTCAGATTCGCGGTCACTTGATATGAATTCCAGCTTTATCCTTGATGCAAAACATCAGAACAGTTAACAAAGTACAGATAAATAAGCACAAAGAAGATAATGTGACAAATATTCAAAATCAAGTAGAATATTCAAAGACCCATTTCTGGAAGAAAAACAGTATGAGAAAGATGATCAATATTAACCAGATGCTATTCCCCATCCTGAAAGCTTTGTTAGACATCTAGGGGTTTTAGGGGTTGTTATGATTTAAACATAAATATTTCAAACAATTTGTTTAAAAAGTTGTGAATTAAGAATAGGTTTTTAAATATAATTTTCTTCTCAGAGACTAAAGCTTTGCTTTGAGATTTTTTTCTTTTGCTTTTCTTCTAGTAAGATTTCAAACATAACTGGATGGATGAAAAGGCCAGCAGCTATGTGCTGACTAAAAGTAAACTTTAATAGATTACTCAAAATTTGAAATTGATGCAAGAAACTGCAAAGAGAAACAGTAAATTAATTAGTTTTAGCAAAAAGAATATTAAAAAAGGTAACTGTTTTAATAAAAAGATTGCTATTCCATTTCATTATTGCGATTTGTCATTCATGATGGCTTCTTTATCTGAAAAATATCTAAATATTTTCACATTTGGTTTAATAATGTTGGTGGTCAAACCGTATAGTTATGGTTCACTTTATATTTCACACAACATTGACAAATTGTTCCTTACACAACCTATAATTCAGTCAGTTTTGCTTTAATACTACAGTCATTTATCTCTGTCTTGAAGACTTGACACCCACGTATGCAATTCACTAAAACTCTTAAGCACATTTACTTTACAGTATGTTACTCAAGAGGTACTTACAATGTTCTGGTTTTGAGATTTCAGACAGTTACTGAAATCCTAATTGGTATTGTCTTTCAAAAGGACAAAATCTGCAGGTATAGGGAATATTTACTAAAACTATTGACTATAACTTCAAGTTTCTTACCTGTAAGAGTTTTAGTGAGGAGGGTATCAGTGAAGTCACATAAGAGATTTTTTACTTATTTTGCATCACTGCCTGGTGTTTCTTGTGCAATCCACAGCTACTAGCTGTAACAATGAAAACAGGGTTAAGAATTTTTCCTTGAGAGTTTGTACCCAGGCATGTAAACCTATGACATGATTTTGTGGGCCACCCTCAGAAGAGGGGAGGCAGGGCGCTCCACCTGCTATGTTGCAACACCCCCCCCCGCCCCGGAGCTGGTGGTACTCCCGGGGGTGGAGGGCTCCAAGCCCCTGGGGAACTTTCCAGGGAGAGGGGCAAAAATGTGACCCTGTCCCTCTCCCTCCCCAGGCATCCAGGAGAAAGTGCATCCTTGTTGACCACCACACCTGAGAGCAGGTAAGGGGAGGTGGGGACGCTGGGGCTGCTGTGACCAGCCACCCCGCCCTGGAGTCGAGGGTCCCAGCCCGACTCACCTTCTCTACCCACACAGCCCCACGCTGGCCTGGAGGTGACAATGGCAGCCGAGGGACTGCCTGCTGGGGGACCTGCTGGTGCCCTGTCTGGCTGGGAGCTGGAGGCTTGGTACCAGGACCTGCAGGAGGTGCTGGCAGCAGCTGAGCCCAGTGGGCCCTCCCCACCCTGGGGGACTGAGCAGGTAAGCGGAAAGGCTGGCAACACCCCAGCCAGGGGCAGGGGACAGGGCAGGGGACACCATCACCTGGTGCTGGCTCCTTCTCTCTCCCTGCAGGCAGAGCTGGCTCCACTGTGGGGCACAGAGGGGGCTGCCAGTGGTCCAGAGGACTGTGAGCTGGATGCTGCCCTGGCTGCTGAGCTGCTGGAGCTGCTGGGGCCAGAGAGCACAGCTGGCACAGAGTTAGCGGGACCATGGGGCTCGGCCTCCAGCAGCAGCTCCCCACCCCAGCTGGGTACAGAGGAGGACAAGGAAGGGGCAGCTGCAGGGTGTGGGGTGAAGAGGAAGAGGTGCAGTGATATGGCAGCGAGCAGGGAGCTGGCCCAGCGCCGAGAGCGGGCCAACGAGCAGCGGGTGCTGGAGCTGACAGCCCACAACGAGCAGCTGCGGGAAGAGATCCAACAGCTAAGCGCAGAGGTGGAGCGCACACGGACAGCCCTCATTGACCGTATTGTGAACCTCCACCAGGCTTAGGCACTGATGCTGCACCTGTGGACCTGGGGGCAGCCATGAACTGGAGAGGCACTGCCCCACTGGCACAGACTGATGCTGTCGGGAGGGCACCAGACAATGTTGTATAGTTTGTGCATTTTATTACATGCATATAACCACTAGCACAGCCCAGTCTGGTCTGTGGGTAGCACTGGGGCTGCTCCTCAGCACAGGAACCAGGTGCTACTTCTTCCGCTTCCCCTTGGGCACGGGGACTTCGGGGCTTTTGCCCTCGGCTACTGCCAGCTGCTGCTTCAGCTCCAACAGCTTGGCCACCTCTGCATCAACCTGGGCCTTCTCTGCCTTGTTGGCCTTCAGCTGCCGCACGTGGTTTCCCTGGGGACATGCCGGGGGTGGGGGGGAGTGTGATAAGAGTTTGGGAGCCATAAGGGGTAAGATAGGGCCAGCCCACCACTACCACTCACCTGCTTGGCCACCTCCTCTGTCAGCTGCTGGATCAGCTGGGGGTCACCTGGGGCTGGAGAGGGGTGTGAGGCTGGAGGGGTCTGTCTGGCCTACAGAAGGACAGAAATGGGTGTGAGCCCTGCTGCCAGCCTTCAGGGGCAGAGCTCTGTGCCTACCACCCCCCCCTCATGCTGGAGAGGGGTGGGTTGCTCCAGCACCCCTGAGGCAGCCCCAGGGATTTACCTGGGGCTCTACAGCAAGGTCTTCAAGCTAGGAAAGGAGAGATGGCAAGTGAGGAGGGATAGAAAGCAGAGGTGGAGAGGTGCCCATGGCAAAGGAGCTGTGGGAGCACTGCAGCCCCCACTCACCTGCCCTCCCCCAAAGCGCTTGCGCAGGGCTTCAACCTGGTCATTCTCCAGCTTCTGGAAAAGGGGGCTCACCTGGAGCCAGAAAGAAGAGGGGTCACCCTTGCAGGGCCAGCACTCCTGATCCCACCCATGCAGTGCCTGGAGGGGCACAGCTTGCCTTTTACCCTGCCACCACCTACAGTGCCCACGCGATGCCCAGGGGGCAGGGTGCAGGTGAAGTAGTGGCTCAGGACGAAGCAATCTGGGGGGATGCAGAGCTGCCCCTGGATGGCCAAGCTGACACTGGGCATGTAGGGCTGTAACAGGACAGCCAGCATGGAGGCCATGTTCACAGCCACACCGGTCACTGTGCCTGCACGCTCCCTGTGGGATAGGAAACCCTCCATCAGTGGCAGCTCCTAGCCCTGCTCCCCTGCCCATCTTCCCCATCTCTCCCCTACCTGTCATTTTCATCCCCCTTGATCCGCCTCCAGGGCTCATTCACCTGGATGTACTGATTGCCATGGCGAGAGATGCTAAGGATACATCTCAGGGCATCACGGATGCTGGGGAGGGAGCGGGGGCGGGGGGGGGGCTGAGCACCTGCTGTAGGGCAGGTCTCTGCCCTCACAATTCAGCCCTGCTCCAGCCCCAAGGTTTCAGCTACCCACCGGACTTTCTCCAGCAGCTGGTGGTACTGGTGCAGCTCCAGGGTGACACGGGCCAGGAGCCGCTTGTCATCTGGTGTCAGGACCATGTTGGGGACAGTGCCACCAAAGAACTTGCACACGAACATGCCAGCTCTAGGGACAGAGGCAGAGTGGACATGAGCACAGCCTGGGGACAGAGACAACCCCTGCAACCGCTAGGGTGTTCCAGAACCTGTTGATGAAGTTGCCCAGGTTGTTCAGCAGCTCTGAGTTGTTCTTGAGCATGAGGTCACTCCAGGAGAAGGCACTGTCCTGCCCTTCGGGCCGCAGGTACAGCAGATAAAAGCGCCAGATGTCTGCAGGGATGCCTGTGTCCTTGGCCATGTCCCCAAACACTCCTACACCTCGACTCTTGGAAAACTTCCCATCCTCATAGTTCAGGTACTCTGGAGAGGGCAGGAGAGACCCCACCATGGGGGCCAAGCACGGCTCCAGCCCTCTCCCAGACAGGGAGCAGCCCCACAATAAAGGGAGACACTATCAAAGTGCTCACAGGGGCTTCCAAGTCAAGGAGGGCAGGTGTGGTTTTGCACTTTTGCACAACAGACTGGACTGTTCCCAGTACTGAGGGAAAGCAGGGTAGTGGGGTGATCCTCCGGTACCTGTAGCAATTAGGTGGTTCACCAGGGTGTAGTTGTCCTCAGCACCCAGGAGCGAGCAGGGGAATATGACGCTGTGGAATGGGACATTGTCCTTGGCCATGAAGTTGTACAGCTCAACCTGACAGGTAGTGGGGGGAGGCAGGGGAGAACATCAGTGGATCCTGGCATCCAGCCCTGTCCCTACCTCCACTCTACAGCAGCACCAGGCTCTTACCTGCTGTGGGTTCTTCCACCACCTCTCCCACTGGTCAGTGTAGTTGGCCGTAATGGACAAGTAGCCAATTGGAGCATCAAACCACACATAAAAAACCTTGGGGGAGAGCGATACATGAACAAGGGACCCACAGGCAGGGCACCTGGGGACAGACGCTGCAACCAAGGGGCGGGGTAGGACCCACCTTGTCATGGAACCCATCGAGGGGTACAGGCGTGCCCCACTTCAGGTCACGGGTGATGCAGCGAGGTTTGAGCCCATCCCGGATCCAGGAGCGAGTGATGTAGCGAGCATTGGCCGTCCAGTCCCCCGTGGCCCAGGACTGCTCCAGCCAGGGCTCCAGCCGCTCCTCCAACTGTGGGGGAACACATGGGGATGGTCAGTGGTACCGGGGGGGGACACCCATCCTTTCCCCAATCTCCCAGGGATGAAGCTCACCTTGGGTAGGTCCAGGAAGAGGTGCTGGGTCGGTTTCACCACAGGGACACCCCTGCAGAGCTTGCACTGTGGATTCTGTCAGGAGGAAAACCACAGGTTGTAGAGAGCCCAGGACAAGGCTGGGTGTCCCAGGCAGAGCGGGGCCGGGGGGCAGGCTGTACGGTGGGGTGGTCCCAGAGAGATCCTGTCCCACCTTCAGCTCCACAGCATTGATGAGTTTGCCACATTTATCACATTGGTCCCCCCGGGCCTCCTTGTAGCTGCAGAAGGGGCAGGTGCCCTCCACAAAGCGGTCAGCCAGGAATCGCTGGCAGTTCTCACATCGCAGCTGCTCCACAGTGTCTTGCAGCAGGAAACCACGGGCCAGCAGGCGCTGGAAGATGTCCTGGGCAATCCTGGGACAGAAGAGGAAGAGGAGAGGGGCAGCCCCCATCAGCCAGGGAACCCTGGACAGCCATAGGGCACCTTCAGCCAGGCATGCCAGGGTTCCCCCAACATTCCCCAGCACCAGTCCCTCCATGTGAGCCTCTGGGGGACACAGCTGCTCACGTGGTCTGGTACGGTGTGGTGGTGCGGCCAAAGTAGTCGAAGGAGATGTCAAACCAGCGGTAGATATCAGCGTGGATGGCGTTGTACTTATTGCAGATCTCCTGGGGCGTCAGCCCCTCTTCCACCGCCTTGGTCTCGGTGGCTGTGCCATACTCATCTGTGCCACACACATACAGTGTGTTCCAGTTCCGCAGGCGGCAGTACCTGCAGGCAGAGGCCTGTGACACCTGTGCAGGTGTTGGGGGCAGTATGGCCCGCCCCATGATGATCCCCTGGCCCCAGAGAGCTTTCCCGCAGCCAGGTCTCACCTGGCAAAGGTGTCGGCACTGAGGACGCAGCCAATGATGTTGCCAAGGTGGGGCACGTTGTTCACATAGGGCAAAGCGCTGGTGATCAGGACATTCCTCATGCCCTCCACAGGCAGCCTGGTGTGGACAGGGGTGGTCAGAGCAGTCACAAACAGCAAGGCCACCCCACCCCAGAACAACATGGCATCAGCCTGGGAGCCCCTACTAGGCCCCTCAGTGGATTAGCCAGCCCTAGTGCCATCTTAGGACTCACACAGGTTTCTGAGGCTGCCAGGGCTTGGGCAGTGCCGCAGCACCATGGGCCCAAGCGTCCGCAGCAGCTGTGATTTCCTCCTCCGTCAGGGCACGCTCAGAACCTTCTTCCTCCTGCAGGGAAGGCTGGTCCCAGTGAGGGTCTGCCTGCCTGTCACCACCAGCACCATAGGGGCCCATCCCTGGGCTAGGGCTGAGCAGGGGGCCAGGGCTGCACCTCGGGCTCGTTACTGGGGGCTCTCTCCATGGCCAGGCAGGGTGGGGGCTGCTTCTGCAGGTAGGACTTGAACTCCAGCAGTGCCTTGGGCATCAGAACAAAGTCAGCAGCTTTCCTACAGGCCTCCAAGAGTGTCATGCTCTGGAACCAGGTCCTCAGTGCCTGCAGTTCAACTTGAGGGGTGAGACAGAGAGAGAAAGAGAGAGCAGCATGATTCTTACACCCACGGGAACACACAGCCCCTCAGCACCCTTGTTTTTCTCTTACTTGGCAGGCTGGTCTCATCCTGGAAGACAGGGAATAAGGTAGCCCACACAACCACATCAGCCACTGACTTGGTCTCCTGGGCCAGAGAAGCAGAGTCAGGCCTTGAGGCAGCCCCAACAAGCTCAACTCTCCAGGGTGAAGGTATCCCCTGCTCCCCAGTGGTCTCCCCACCCCACGGTCCCACTCACCCCAGCGAGGTAGGCAGTGCCTCTCCTGGACAAATTCTGCTCTATGTGGGCCAGCAGCTTCCCCAGGGCCTCCACAGCCTCCAGCCCCTTCTTGCCGTGCACCAGCTGAGCGTACAGGGCAGCCCAGGCAGCCGGCTGGGAGCAGGCAGAGACAGGAGCAGTCAGATTTG